CTGCCCTGGACCTCCACATGGGCGCCGCGGCGGCCCTCGACGACGGCCGCGTCTTCCGCTCCGGCGACGCCGCGGCCGTCGCCGCGGCCGCGAACCTCGCGCTCCTGAAGATCAAGTGCCTCACCGCGCTCGTCTGCGCGCTCGAGGGCGCGGGCGACGACCTCCGGGGCGCCATCGTCGGCCACGCGGAGCTCCGGCCCGCGCTGGACCGGGTCGCGCTCGAGCTCCGCGAGGCCCGCGTCGAGAACGCGCGGCGCGCGGCCGTCGACGCGCCGCTCCTCGTGTCGCCCGCGCTCCTCGCCAAAGCGGCGCGGGACGGCGTCCCGCGGCCGCGACGACGTTCGAGAGCGGTCGGCCGGGAAACGTCGCGACCGGCGCGTTCGGTAGGTCCAGGAGCTCTTCAGCATCCGGCTCGTCGTGCGGGGCGAGTGCACGCTGAGCACGGCGCTGCTCGCGCCGCCGAAGGACCGCGGCGAGCGCCGCGCGCGGCAGCGCGCGCTGGCGAGCCTCCGGTCGAGCCTGCTCACGTCCGTGTGGAAATCAACCGCTGGTTTGGGACGTCCCGACCAAGCTTTGAACTTCTCGAGCTCGGTCACATCGAAGTCGATTCGGCTGATTTTTGGACGGATCGAGTGCTCTCGTCGAGTTCTCGAAGCGGAGCCGAAGAGCTCGCGTCGAAACGTTCGATTACGCTCACATTGAAGTCTGGTCGAAGATTTGAGTTCCGCGCAGGCTCACGTCCGAGGTGTCGTTCCGCGGGGGCTGCCGCGTCGTCGTCTACACGGCGCCGCCCTACGCCGGCGGCGGCGGCGACGAGCTCGTGCGCGCCCTCGTCGAGGAGCACCGGGGCCTCACGGTCGCCGCGCGCGTCGGCGCCGTCGTCCGCCAGGCCGCGCTTCTCGCGGACGCGATGGCGATGACGTGGCGGCTCACGTCGCGGTCCGCGGCCTACCGCTGGGTCCAGCGCCGCGAGCGGCCCCTGAAATGGTCCATCTACGCCCTCAGCTTCGTGCTCTTCGGCACGAGCTCCTTGGCGAACGACCGGAGCCACCGCATCGCGCTGTGCCGGAAACAACCAGTGGAACGCCCTTCCGGCAAAAACTTCGAACCTCTCGAGCTCG